ACCCCCCCCCCCCCCTTTTTTTTTTTGCTTCCTTTGGGTTGTTGGTAAGCATGCAATTCTTAGATTCCAGACCCTTGTCACATCCTTTACATTGTTACGGATTCTCTGGAAGAAACAAGTATCTATACTGCATGCTCCCTTTTATTACTGAATCGATTAGGATAAAGACATTCTCATACCTCTTTTCCTTTTTCCCAGTGAGAAGAACAAAGTGTTGTCACCTCCAATGGCCTCCATTTTTAATCACACTCGAGAGCTGCAACAATCTCTTGGACATTATGTTAGATGTCAAAGTTACTTTCTACTCCCCGGGGAACGTAGTTTGTCTGATGGTTTCAGAGGTTTCTTATACTTTCTCGGTCTTGCATACTGTTTCATCGGCTTGTCAGCGATCACCGCAAGGTTCTTTAAATCCATGGAGAATGTCGTTAAACATTCGCGTAAAGTGGTTTCAATGGATCCAGTTACCAAAGCTCAAGTCATCACGTACAAGAAAGTTTGGAACTTCACTATCGCAGACATCAGTTTGTTGGCGTTTGGGACTAGCTTTCCTCAGATTTCTTTGGCTACCATTGATGCATTTCGGAACATGGGGGAGCGTTATGCTGGAGGTCTCGTTTTTAGCTCTAAAACTCTTCACGCCGTGAAAAAATGTCTTACACATTAATTGTTTTGTTATTATAGGTCTTGGTCCTGGAACACTTGTTGGCTCTGCTGCATTTGATCTTTTCCCAATCCACGCTGTTTGTGTCGTGATGCCTAAAGCTGGGGAATTGAAAAAGATATCCGACTTGGGCGTTTGGCTTGTCGAGCTTGTTTGGTCTTTTTGGGCTTACATTTGGCTCTACATTATCCTCGAGGTCTACTCTAAAACATATTTTGTCGAAGTTTATACTCATTAACAAGGTCTAACATTGGTGTTTATTTTCATTTGTCACAAAGGTTTGGTCACCAAATGTAATTACTCTTGTGGAGGCATTATTAACAGTAGTTCAGTACGGTTTACTTCTAGTTCACGCGTATGCGCAAGACAAGAGATGGCCTTACTTGTCTTTACCCATGTGGGTTTCTTCTCCACCAGACAACATTACTAGTTTCTGCTAATTATTGAATCTTTGTCTTTGTAATATGATAATCAAAGGTCAAGAGGTGATAGGCCAGAGGAGTGGGTTCCAGAGGAGGAGATTGATACATCCAAAGATGACAATGACGTGTATTCAGATGCAGCTCAACGAGCTGTTGAGATGGGAAACAGAAACATTGTTGATATCTTCTCTATTCATTCAGCTAACAACAATGATTCAGGTAATTTCCAAATCTGTCTCTGTTACTGTTATATGTCAAAACTTCCCTGTAACAAACAGTTTTTCAGGGATCACTTATCATACAGTGGCAGATACTCCAGCAGGATCTTCCACTAAGAGGGGTAAGGCCAAGAATGCTACTTTTTTCTACATTTGGAAAAGTCAATTCGTGGATGCAATCACTGTAAGAATCTTCAACTTACCATATGCTTTTAGGTTCTTCTATACCATAGACTTTTAGATCATTATCAACACAAGTTTCTCTTCTGATTCCTTAACCAAACAGTTGGAAACATCGGAATCAAAGAAAGTTGATAGCATTTACCTCCGAATCGCGAAATCTGTGTGGCAATTACTCCTTGCTCCTTGGAAAATACTTTTTGCATTTGTTCCTCCTTGCAACATTGCTCACGGTTGGATCGCTTTTATCTGTTCACTTCTTTTCATCAGCGGAGTAGCCTTTGTCCTCACAAGACTTACCGACCTTATAAGCTGTGTCACTGGTACACACACACAATCACAAAGCTCTAAAAAAATATCCATCAAAAGGTTCAACATGTTATAGCTGATCTTATTCATAAAACTTTTTTTTTTTTTGTTCTCGGTTTGCAGGTATAAACCCATATGTGATAGCATTCACAGCACTCGCAGGTGGAACTTCATGGCCAGATTTAGTAGCAAGCAAAATTGCTGCAGAGCGGCAACTCACTGCAGATTCAGCTATAGCAAACATCACCTGCAGGTAAAGAAAACTCAAAACCCCCCTTTCAAACAATCAACAATGATCTTAACGGTGATAATATTGCAGTAACTCGGTGAACATATATGTGGGGATTGGAGTTCCATGGCTGATAAACACAGCATACAACTACTTTGCATACAGAGAGCCTCTATACATAGAAAACGCGAAAGGACTAAGCTTCTCTCTGCTGATATTCTTTGCGACATCAGTTGGATGCATAGCGGTGCTTGTGTTGAGAAGGTTGATTATAGGAGCTGAGCTTGGTGGTCCAAGGCTGTGGGCTTGGCTTACTTCTGCTTATTTCATGATGCTTTGGGTCGTCTTTGTTGTTCTGTCTTCTTTGAAAGTTTCAGGCATCATATAGAAGGAGCAACAAAACCAAATGAGAAAGAAGAAATGTATTATACGTATATTAAGTTTTTCTTAGAAAAAGACTATATGATAGTTTCCTAATTAAATAGGATCATTGGCCAAATAGAAAGGTAGGATATAGATTTTCAAGGGTGTTAAAAGATTTAGAATTTTTTACCTTCTAAGACACATTTTGTCTTATGAATTACCTTATAAGGCACTTCCCACTTGAGGCACACATCATATATGCTGAATGTCTTTTTTTCCCCTCTGTTACACCAGACACTAGTTGTCTTAACCATAGAGAAATTAACTATGGTTACTCTATATTCTCTAATCTTTTGAGTTTGTGTCGGACATATCCAAACATTTCAGATCCCTACATCACTCGAAATCAAAATCTCTCGAAATCAAAATCTTTCAAACATCTCTCGAAATCCAAATATCTCTCGAAATCCAAACATCTCTCGAAATCAATATCTCGAAATCCAAACATCTCTCGAAATCCAAACATCTCGAAATCAAAATCTTTGTGTTTGTGTCGGACGAATCCCTGCATCACTCGAAATCATTTTCTTCGACGAACTTCAATGGCGAAGAAGAAACCCAAGTCTTCCCAGGCGACGGCTAAGAAAAGAACTGCCGCTTCTCCTGTTTCAGATCCGCCTCAGACTTCCTCCGGTTAGTATCAGATCGACTCCTTCTCCCCTTCTTTCCGATTTGTTGTTCATTTTGTCTTTGATTTCTTATTAAAAGTTTCAATTTTTCGCCGTTTATCTTCGATTTGTTTTTGATCTCTAGGGTTAGTAACTGGGTTTTCTTTGTTTTTTACTTTAGCCGTATATTTTCGTTTGGTTTTACAAACCGAGTATCTTTCGCCGTCTCTCTTCCCTTTGTTTTTGAGTTCTACGATTTTCGATGTTTGATTTCTAGGGTTTTTCGCCGTTCTAATAATTCTCTGGTTGATTCCTATGTTTTTTCTGCGTTTCATTAAGTTTTGGTTGAGATTTCGATAGAACCAAGTGTTGATTTCAGAAGAACAAAGTGTCTCCTGATTTCTTTTTTGTAGACGATTTTCTCATTGTTTAATGTTTCTCTAATTCTCTTTCAGCAAACACGCAGCCGGATCAGCGTCTCCCGTTGAGGCTATTTGCCACCGATAGATTCCCCATCAACAAACTTAACATATACTCTTCGCCTGAGATCCTTTCATTCCTTCGTCATCATCTCAGAGACACTCCCGAGTTCAAAACCATCAGACAGTCTTCTTTTGGAAAGCTATTCGACATCCCTTCCCGTCAAGCTCTAGTGTCTACAAAGCTCATTCACTCGTTCCTCACTCGAAAACTACTATGTGAGGACAAGCACACGCTCTGGACTGTTTTTGGTGGGAACCCTCTTCGTTACGGTCTCCAAGAGTTTGGAACTGTAACAGGTCTGAATTGTGGCTCTTTTCCAGAAGGGTATCATCCTGACACAGCCAAGTCTGGTGTTGCGGGCAAAGATCGAGTTTGGAAAAAACTTTTTGGGACGAAGAAGATCATAACTATAGCTGAGCTTTGTCAGATGCTTGAGGCAGAGAAGAATATGTCTAGCTGGAAGAAGATTCGTATAGCTCTTATTATCATAGTCGATGGTGTTCTCATTGCCCACAAACAAGTACCCCGCCCCACTCCTCGATATGTCAGCATGCTTTCAAGTCTCCAAACCTTCTTTGCCTTTCCTTGGGGTAGAGAATCATTCTTGAAGACCATCTCGTGCATGAAACCACCCAAGCTTGCTCCACCGAAGATCAAGGATCCTGTCTCTTGGCTCGTGCACAAACTGAAGCAGCAATCTTTCCGCTTGCAGGGCTTTCCTCTTACACTCCAGCTGGTTGCCTTCCGTGCCATCCCCCAACTGCTTGAGTTCATCCCTGCTCCTCCCCATAACCGCACGCTGATGGACCTTGAAGATGGTTACCTACCGCAACACGGCTCCATCAGTGCTCTTGACATCCTTCGGGTCGAATTCTCCTCTAATGTAAGTAACCAGTTTAGTGTTTCCTAATGTTTACCTTTTTAAAAGCTTAATATACTTAGGGCTTTCGAACCACTGATTTACTGAATGCCCACGTCCACAAGGGTATTCCATACTGCTTGTGTTTGCTAGTGTTTACCTTTTAACAAATTATTTATATACTAAAGGCATTCTATCTCAGACTAATTATACACCTATTACTTAATGTCCACGTCCACAAGAGTTTGGAGTTAAAGATTTTTTAATGGTTGATTTAACTGTGTTTCATTGTGTTTTCAGCTATTTGTCTCACCTGTCATACATATCGAAAGGCAGCCGGAGGCTGGTTGGGGCGAGTGGTCCAATGTAACAAAGGACGATCGCATTATTTACATGGAACAGTTGATATCTGATAGCTACACTTTCAACAAAACTATGTGGCCTGGTGGGGTTACAACGGTTCCTTTGCTTAAACAGCCTAAAGATCGTGCTAACCGTCACGGGAAGCTCACTCGGGTCAAACAATCTCTCAAACCAAAGCCGATCATCAAGAAAGAGACGTCTACAAGGAATCAAAGGCGCATAAGTTCTTACTTCACACGTTCAAATGCCAACAGTTTCACCAACGCACAACTTACGGAGATGGTGTTGGAACTTCAGAAGGACATGAGACAGATGAAGAAATTTATAAAGAAGATCAAGAGAAAATCTCATGGAAGAAAATCAAAATTTCACACACTGCTATCTCGTACCAAATATCAGCGGACATCTCATTTCGAAGAACAGGTAACAGGATTTAACAAAATCTTGCAGTCTTTGCTATTAGTTTCTTTAGTTTCTTATTGTCCCTGTCACTTCTGCTTATAGGATGTTCCTCCCACACATCAGAGCGGTGTTGAGCCAAGTGATATCGACCCAACTGACAAGGTGATGTTCAATACGCATTCAGCCATCTAATTTAAAGTTTAATATTTATAAATAAAATTTAATACTCTGTTTTGTGTCCCCTATAAGATGTGGATGCTATGTCTACAGATAATCATGAGGATCCCCACTCACCTATAATCAGTCAGTATGCAGCTCATCTCCACCGTCAGGCTAATGAAAACATGAACACGGATGCTTCCAACGAAACCATCCACACTACAATTGGCCATCTCTCAGCTGAGGACACTGGTCTGACCACTGATGAACTCAATCCCACAGAGGAGGTAAAGTTCAGTCAGTCATGCCTGAATCCTACTGGAAATGAGTTGAGTTTCTGTTAATGGACCACATTTTGTATTCATCATTTTAGGATGTTGATGCTATGGAAACCAACACTGACACCATCCACGGCTCACCTCAACAAAGTTCAGAAGATGACATCAATACCACAGACCAGGTAAAACTCAATCATTCCTTCTTTCAAATTTACTTACAAGTTTCCGTTCCTACTAATTACACCACCTTTATTAACATGAAATACCCCATTTTTTCTCATTGTAGGATGTCGATGATCTGGAAAACAATCAAGACACCGTCCACACCTCACCTCACACGACCACTCAGGAGCCAAATTCAGATGACGACCAGGTGATGTTCATTCATCCAAGCTTTCACATAACATGTCCCTGCATTCAACCTTGTCTTAATTTTTTGTTTTTTCATTGCACGATGTCGAACCCCTACATTTTCAGGACGTGGAGGATATGGACCACGGCACAGAGGATGTCCACAATTCCAAGTTGTGTCAGATGTGGGTTCTTGTCCCACATCCGCTTTTTGTTGACGACCAGGTTTGCATTACTAATCCCATGGATGTTAAATATATGGTTCTCAAGCTGCACACTCTCATTTAGGCTTTTTGGTTTGCATCCTAGGCTGTGGATGCTGTGGAAGACGACTCAATAGATGTCCACAGCCCACCGCTCCAGGACACCAAATCTGTGCACCATCAGCCTCAGTCACCTACAACAACTCAGAATGAGACCGATAATGAACCTGACAACGATATGGACCATGACGCAAACGATGTCCACACCCCACGGAACCTCGACACAAAAGATGTGCACCATCAGCCTGAGTCACCTACAAGAAGTCAGAATGACACCGGCAATGAACCTAACAACGATGTCCACACAACTCCAATTGCCACCAATCAGAAGACCACGGAGACTCGTACTTTCGGGACACTATACCCTGGCCAGTGGGACCCACCTTCTAAAATCTATGATAAAGCAGATCACCCAGACAGCCCGGAGATTAATCACCTACTATATCATGGTCTCAGGATTTACGACAAAACGGCTGTTAGCCCAGACCCACCACTATCCACAGGTCCTATATTCGACCAAACAGCTGGTCCATCCTCTCCACCCATTCGTTTACGGTTGTCACCACTCCCTTTCACTCCACTCACATCACCAGTCAAGAGTAATGAAGGTGGTCTTGGTTTCGCAAGCCACGCCGGGACACCAAATGCATTTACAGCCACAGCTTCTACGAACTCAGCCATTGATGAGGTTTGTGTCCTATATAGGATGGATTTTAGAATTTCTGGATCTCCACACATCTGCTAACTTTGATTACTCGCTAACTTTTCATTTACTGGACATAAAAATATTCAGGCTGCCGAGGATCCCGTCGTCGATCTCACAAGAACTAAAGACCCACCCACACACGTTCCATCTATGCTCGAAAACCTTCTAGCTAAGGAATTATTCAACTCTCCACTCATTCCTGCTTTGGGTCTCATCACCCCACTCCCAGAGAGGGAATGGGATTTTTTCCATAGCATCCTCAAACCCAACATTGATGTGTAAGATTTACTAACACTTGTTTGATGACCAGATTTAGCAATGTTGTCTTTATTCCAACCCTTCTTTTTATATTAATTGTGTCACAGGTTCCATAGCACTCCATTTGAATTTGAGTTTTCAAACAAATCTCTGCTCGAAATTGCTCAGCCTAAGCAATGGACAACCGAATATGTAAGTAAATCTCTATGTTTTCTTTGTATTGAGATAGTCTGTT